CCCTCAATCCTGAACCCTAAACCCTCAACCCTAAGCCCTAAACCCTAAGCCCTAAACCCTAAGCCCTAAACCCAAAACCCTCAACCAAACCCTAAACCCTCAACCCTAAAAACCCCAACCCCTACTCCTACTCCTTGCCAGGCCAAGCTCCGCATGGGCGGCGTTCAAAATCTCTCGGCCGCGGCGTCCTGGGCCCGAGTTCGGCCCTCGGCGTTGTCGGAGGGGTTTAGGGTTTAGGGTTTAGGGTTAAGGGTTTAAGGTTTAGGGGTTTAGGGGTTTAGGGTTTAGGGTTTAGGGTGGAGGGTGTATTATCGAAGACCTCATATCTAGGATAGAATTCCTGAACAGCACTCCATAGTCATAGTAATTAATATATACACCAAAACCCTGTTCTCATCATTCAGGCCCCTTCTTTTATTATTTGCTGTTTGTTCCGTCGGAAGGGGGGGTGGGGTGGGTGGGATTCTCGGTGTTGGTGAGGGGTTTCTGCTTCATCTTTGGTTGAGTGCTCCGGGTTTCGCACGTATCAGGTTGCAGGTTTCAGGTCTTAGAGCCTTGCTTTAAATACGGTTGATGCTATACATCCTGCATTACCCAGAGTAAGGAAGACACCAAACTCCCCATAGTTTAGGGTCCTTAAGGTAGTGCAGGATTTATACCGCTTAGGAGACTAGGGCATGGTGTTTGGGTCACCGGGTTCGGGGTTGCGATCCCTGCTTCTTGTAGTTGGGGCCTCTAGCGTTTTTGGTTTGAGGTTCCGTTCGAGTTTGAAGAGGATCCTTAAGAGTGGAAGGGGGGGGGAGGGTTTAGGGTTTAGGGTTTAGGGTTTAGGATTTGGGGTTCAGGGTTTAGGGTTGAGCCCTAAGCTACACACGCGGACCTGGCCTAGCATTCCCATCGATGTTAAGGCCTTGCCCCAGAAGCCCCGCACCCATCATGCCACAAGCCCCAAAGCCGAAGTGAACGATCAGGAGGTTCAAAGAGAAGGCAACCCGGATGGCAGCAGATGGGAGCACGATGTCGGAGACAGTTGCTATCCGGAGGGACGGACCGAACCAATACTTAATCCCGAACCTGGAACCCCCCGAAACCCTAAGCCCTAAACCCTGCGCCCAAAAAGCCAAGGTCAAGACGGCGATCATGAAGAGCTTAGAGAAGCAGCAATCGCAGATGACCTTCGAAGAGGCACATGTGGCTTCCATGGTGGTGTGTAGGTGTAGGGCCACTGGCAGCCACGGGGGTTTAGGACCAATTGTAGTAGTTACGGTATGTCTCAGAGGGTTTTCAAGCTTCCGGGTTTTTTTTGATAAACTTAGGGTAGTGTTCCCTTCGAAGGAACCCTTTCATGGAACAGCAGTGTCGGCTAGCCTAAACCCCTGAAGCCCTAACCCTCATCTCTAAGCCCTTATCGTAAGCCTTTCTAGTAACCCTTTAACTTAGTTCCCCAATACCCAACCTTTAAAAACTTTTGGGTTCTTATACGTTAGTGTAATCTCAAAGCTTAACATTGTATTTCCCTGGCTTATTGGGAAAGTAAGTTACAGGGGATCCCGAACACCTCTTTGCGAGGCTGTGGAAGCCACCTTCCGAACCTTCGATGCCGATGGCACGGGGCACCTCACTGCGAAGCAGCTGCAGGCCATGATGTAGGGGCTTAAATAATTACCTATCGTATTTTGGGGCTTCCATACTATACTTATAGTTTATTATACCCCACAACCCTATCCTAATTATTTAGGCCCCTACAGTACAGTGTGTCCCTTATCTGTTTAGGGTTTTAGGGTGTAGGGTTTTAGGGTTTGGGGTTTAGGGGACAGGGTCTGGGTCTAGCGATCAGGGCTCGGGGTTTGGAGATTGGGCCACACGAAAACCTTAAACCTTTAGGGTTTAGGGTTTAGGGTTTAGGGTATACAGGCTGTTGTTCCTCAGTTCTTCGATTCTTCTCCTGGGGTTGTGTCCCGGAGTTTGCATAGGGCTTCCAGTCTGTTTGGACTACAGGTGTTTATGTTTGAGAGTTAGCGCCCAGAGAACCCAATACCCCTTAATCAAGGAAGATACATTAACTCATGATATTAAGGCCTTCCTCTTTTTAGGTATATTCCCTAATTAAGGGATTTAGGGTTTAGGGTTTTAGGGCTTTGGGTTTAGGGTTAGGGGTTTGGGTCTAGGGTTTACGGTTCTCTGGGGGGGGGGGAGGTTCAGGCTTTTATGCGGCAGGAGGTTGGGCTTGGGGCTTCGGATGTAGCATAGGGTTCTTGGACATGGGTGATAGTAATAAGTTTTTAGGGTTTAGGGTTTAAGGTTTAGGGTTCAGGGTTTAAGGTTTAAGGGTTTTTAATATAGAGGCCTAAATTACCAATACTGTTTTGGGGTTCCTCATTATAACTAGAGTATCATGGGTCCCAAAACCCTATTCTAGTGATTAAGGCCCCTACAACAGTCTGCAGAGGTTGCAGGGCTTCCTGGGTCGCTACAGGGTGGTACGCGCATAGATGCGGTAAAATTTGAAATGTAAGAATTGCGACAGCTACATTGCGCTGTTTGTCTCTCCTTCACCCTGCCAAAGGGATCTGAGTAATAATAACATCCCCCCCCCCATAGTCTCGAAATACTCATACTATGATATACCTCCAAACCCTCAACCCCTTAACCCCTAAACCCGTAATTCCTTAAACCCCGAACCCTTAAACTCCTAAATCCCTACCTCCTTAAACCCTAAACCCTTAGCCCCTTAACCCCAAAACCCCAACCCCTAAACCCGTAGACCCCTAAGCCTTAAACCCCGAAACCCCGACCCTAAAGCTCCTAAGCTACCCCAAAGCCGTCAAGCCTTGGTTTGCAGGTCGTAGCCAGGCTCTATGAGCACCCTTTGAACCCTACAGCCTCATAGATCCTTGGCAGGGGTTCCCAAGAGGGTTTGGGGTTTTGGAGCATGGGTTCAAGGGTCTAGGGGTTTAGGGGTTTAGGGGTTTAGGGGTTTAGGGTTTTGGGTTTTAGGGTTTAGGGGTTTGGGGTTGAGGTGCAGGGAGGAGCCCCTGTAAGCCTTTAAGCAGCCAGGCCTCCATGAGAAGCATCGGCCTTACGTTGTCCGACGAAGCCGTGGAGGACGGAGAGCTGAAACTCAACTAATCGCAGCGAGGATTTAGGGGTCGCGGATTCCCACAAAAGGGAGCCCTCCGTCTATTTCCCAAGGGTTCTTGTCTGTAGTAAGGGTCCCCGTACTTAGGATCTATACGAAGGCCTCTAAGTTTCTGAAATAGCCATTTAAAAACAGCGGCTAGTGTTGAACGAGTGAGGCCTAGGGGCTAGGGTGGCTAGGCAAGAAACAACCCAAACCCTAAACCCAAAGCAATCCCAACATACCAAGAGGACATGATCAAGGAGGCGGATCAGCAGAACCAGGGTTTCGTCGTGCCTTGGAGCAGGAAGATGGGTTTTCGAATCATTTGGTCCCTTTCTACGAGGGTTTCTATAATTTAGGTAGGGATTGGGAGAACTTTAAACGATTTGGCCTTGTATATTCGTGCTATTCTCAAATAGTTCGAACTTTGTTGAGCCAGATATTGAAGAAGAGAGATAAGGGTTGCTTCAAGTGTTTCTACACGGATCGGATTTGGCTTTGAAGGTAACCCTCAACCCTTAGCCTCGATAGAGCCCTCAAAGGCACCCTTTTACCAAGCCTAAACCCGAAACCCTGAACCCTAGGACCTGTTCAAAACAATTGGAACCCTAAACCCTAAACCCCAAACCAAAAACCCTAAACCCTAAACCCTAGACCCTAAACCCTAAACCCTAAATCCCAAACCGCAACACCCTAAATTCTCAACCCCAAGCCCAAAACCCAAACCTCAAAGCCTTCGGGGTCGAGGAGCGTCGGGATGCAGGTTTGAGACTTGGGTTTAGGGTTTAAGGTTTTAGGGTTTAGGGTTTAGGGGTTTGGGTTTAGGGGTTTAGGGTCTAGGGTTTAGGGTTTAGGGTTTAGGGTTTAGTAGGGTTTTTAGGGTTCAGGTTTGTAGTTTTCGGGGTTTAGAGTTTAGAAACCCATGGAGTGTCTTGCCGACCCAAATCCTAAACCCTAGACCCTGAACCCTAAACCCCAAACCCTAAACCCTAAACCCTGAACCCTGAACCCAAAACCCTGAACCCTACGCCCTATAACCCTAAATTCACGAAAGGGCTGGCTTTCCGACCCTCGGTTTTGGCTTTTCTCATTCTTGAGGTCGTTCTACCTACGAGGAAGTGCACACGCCCCACAAGCCTTCCTTGCATTGGCAGGGTTTAGGGTTTAGGGTTTAGGGTTTAGGGTTTAGGGTTTAGGGTTTAGGGTTTAGGGTTTAGGGTTTAGGGTAGTGTCAAGACCCCAAAACCCGACACCCTTAAACCGTACAGCCTTACACGCTAAAATCGAGGGTGCGCCCCAAGCCTGAAGCCTCGTAGGTTTGTTGTCCCGCAACCGAGGTGGGTAGTTACCGGTATAGGAGCTTTAGAGAAGGTCTATATACCGTATAGAAGCCTTAAAGAAGCCGTCCCCACCTGTAGTGTCCTTTAACTTGGGGCATGCTCCGCTTCGGCAGGGTTTCACTGAACATGCCGTAGCCAAGGATTACCCAGACTTCGTGACGATCTGCCGCACCTGTGGCATGGGCCCAGTGAAAACAGCCAAAGCCTAGAGGGAGCAACAGTGCTGGGTGAGCTTGAAGATGACCCCCCTCAAGGCTCCAATCTGATATAATTTGGCCCTTAACCCTGAACTTTAACCCGCAGCTAATACCGGCACAAACGACGCTGGCAATGGTCCAGGCAAGCCACACTCCAGCGACACTGCAAAGGAAGGAGGGGGAGGGGGCGGAGTGTCAGGGAAAGGGGCAGGGTGGGTGTGGCGGTGGCGGTGGGGCGGCAGACCTTGGCTTAAATGACGGATTCAGGGCTTAGGGTTTAGGGTTTCGGGTATAGGGTTTAAGGTTTAGGGTTTAGGGTTTAGGGTTTAGGGTCCTGGTCCTCTCCACGCCTAGAGGAGCCTGGAGGGCCCATGGGAAGCTTCGTACAACCACCAGCTTTCCAAGAAGCTGACGAGCAATGGAAAGCAAAAGAGCTCGAGGAAACTAAAGAAAGCAGATGCACCAGGACTTGACGAAAGGAGGCAAGGACGTCCAACGCCAAGAAACCAAAGAACGATAAGGAAAAGCAACAAACAAGTGAACGCGAGAGGAACAAGAAGGACAGCCAAAGGCAAAGGAGGAGGGAGAAAGACAGGAAGATACAGGAAGGACCAGGAAACGGACAAGATGAGAGAACAGGAGGAAAGGAATCAAACTCAAGTGGGGGATGTCTTTGGGACAGTCTGCAGCGCATAGCTTTGCCTTGCGCCGCGACTATGCGAAGCTCGTGCCTGCATGCTTCGTGTCCCAACTCCGATCTTTCGGCCCTGCACACGTGTGTCATGCAAGCACGCCTTTTCACGACCAGAGGCTGCCCTCCAGTTTCAATCAAGGTTCTGGTAGCAGCCGGCGATTATCATCTGGTTTAAAACAGGGCACAGGGGGGATGCTTCCCGAAGGCAGCGCATGACGAACTCGCGTGGCAAAACCTTCCCTCAAGCGCGGTAGAGCGGTTTGGCAGAGCAAGGCAGAAATCATGCGGAGCAGTCGGTCCTAAACCCTAAACCCTAAACCCTAAACCCTTGTATGGCTCGCTTGCAGCGGGCGGTCTTGAGTGATCTCGTGAAGGCATTCGCCGGCATCTTCTTCGGACACTAATATAGGGGCCTTAATAATTGCCTATATTGTTTTGGGATTTCTTATCAAAATTACAGTAAAATGGGCCCCAAAGCCCTATTCCAATTATTGAGGCCCCTACAGTATGCTTCAATCGCACCGGCTCTCAACCAACATCCCAAAAAGCCCCAAACCTTGAAATCGTAAACCATCAGTCTGAAACCCTACAAGCCCAAATCCTGAGAATTGAAATCTACAGCCCACACGCCAACTGGCCAAAAACAACGAAAAGACACCTTAAGCGGGGAAGCTCGAAAACGCAGCGTGTTGCTTTGCTGGCGGCCTCCAAAGTGGCTTACGCCACCCCACCCAGAGAGCTTGAAATGATAGTTTGTGATTGCTTTGTTGAATGGGTTTCGGAGGCTTTTACATGAAAGATAGAGATGCAGTGAGGTACATGTGATATAGAAACATACCTATGTCTGCATACACCGGAAACTATACTAAGAAACTTGCTCTGAATAGCCTTGATTTGAGAGATTTGGGCTCTCTCGGCACGGTTTGTGTATCACCCACCTGGTGGTTAATCCAAACTTTGAAACTCGGTTGAGGGGTTCTAAGTTCCTATCAGTCCGGAATTGCTAAGAGATACGAGTTTCATGCAAGCTTTTGTTTAGTGTAGGGTTTAGGACAAGGCTTTAGCGTTCGTAAGTTCGTGTCACTTCATTTAGGAAAACCTCAGGGATTTCTGAGTTGGTGCAACCACCAGGCGCAAGAAGGATTCTCCCGGCCAGTTTGCCAGCGATGGCAGCTGCACACCTTCTCCGTAGACATCGGAAAGCTCTGTCAACCAATCTTGTTACCGTCAGAATGAAGATTCCTCACTCGACGCTTGAAGCCCCAAAGCCCTAAAATCTTACAGTCCTTGAGCCCCAAGCTGTAAGTCATAAAAAGCCTATGAAGACTCAGGCGTGAAAACGAGCGCCCGAGCCACCAAAGTCACAGGGCCTACGTGGAATCTCATGGCCCCAGGAAACTTCTAACCTAACTTCTGCCGAGAAGTGCCTTGAATATCTGGGTGGTTGTCAAAATTATGGTCCCTTTTTGGGTCCTTATTATAATACGGCACCTATTATTTAGGGTACCCCAAAAGGGACCATAATTTTGACAACTACCCATCTGAATATCCTTGAACACGCAACACGAACCCTAGGCTACCAGGTGCCCGCATCTTTCTTCGGACAACGAGAAGCATTCAACTCCAGACACACGGAGTCCATGCGTCAACAAATCACACGAAACCATAGTGTAAAGACTAGTCGGATCCTTGTTATAGCGAGCCCAAACCAGGACTCCCTAATGTCAAAAACTGCGAAATAGTGTCATGCCCTAAACTAAACCCTAAACCCTAAACCCTCGACCCGAAACCCTAAACCCAAAACCCGAAACCCAAAACCCGAAACCAGAAACCCGAAACCCGAAACCCTAAACCCTGAACTGCCGAGAGCGCCGCTGACCATCGGACCGAGGCCCTCGGCCGTCCCGACAGAACGGTGAGGGAGGGTAAAGCCTCAAGGGTAAGGGGACGGAAATGAGGCCCTAAACCCTAAACCCTAAACCCTAAACCCTAAACCCTAAACCCTAAACCCTAAACCCTAAACCGTGGCAGATTTCAGGGCCCGGGCCTGCTGGGCTGGTTCGAGGGGCCAAGTCGCCAAAACGCCTCAAGGCCTGCCCAGGGCCCTTTCGGGTCTTTACACGGCCTCCCACAGCTTTCCAACACTTGAAAAAGCGGCCAGACCACGTTTTCGGGTCTACTTGGCCGGTCCACACCCTCCGTTTCGGCCAGCTTCTTACACCCAGTGCAACATGCAGACCGTCATTGGAAACTTCGAGAAACCCTGACAGGGTTTTTTGTTGGGAGCCGGCACAGGCCGCCAGCACCAATCCATCTCAGCTGTGGTTTGCTTTGAAATGTATTCATTTCTTGCAAAGCTGCGAGGAGAAGCAGAGAGCAAGACAGCCTTGCTCGAGGGGGGTTTTGGGGGTGAGCCCTGATTGAGAATAGTTGGGGTGGATGCGGCGGGACTACATGCTGACGCAAGCGCGCGATTAGTGGCACGCACAGCGCAGACGCATACATACCCTAAACCCGAAACCCTAACCGCTAAACCCGAAACCCCAAACCCTAAACCTTAACCCCTAAACTCTAAATGCGTGACGGAGAGCTTCAGATGGCCGGCCAGGCCCAGTGTCGGCAGCCCAGGGTTGAAACAAGCGGCACCCTGCTCCCTAACATGAAGGGTCCAAAGTTGAGGGTTTAGGGTTTAGGGCTTGGTTTGTGGATAGTAGTTTTGTAGGTTGGTTTGTGGATAGTAGTTTTGTAGGTTAGTGTTCAGAAGAGTATATGATTATTCGGTGCTAGGACCCTGAGGGTAATATAGGGGCCTGAGTACAATTACCTATACCATTATTTTGGGCGGTCCTCATTATCATTCTAGTATAATATACCAAAACTTTCTTCTAATTCTTAAGGCCCCTACATTGCTTGCAGGGTCTGGGGGCTTAGTAAATAGGTATTTTTGGAGTTATAAGTGATACTTAGACTCCTATTGAGACGAAAGTGATGCTTATACGTCTGGACTAACTAGTTACTAAGTCCCCCGACCTTCCGAGTAGACCGTATTCTGATTCTAAGACGTGTGGAACCACGATTTCAGACCCAGAGTAGCCAGTTGCAGAACCACAGCATGTGGGAGTTAGGGTTTAGGGTTTAGGGTCTGGTCTTGTTAAGCAAGCTTACTTTCCGTCCCATAATTGGGCTCTTAAAACCTGGTGCTGCCTCAAGCCTTAATCTAAGTTCCTCAACAAGAATCCAGCCATGCGGGTGCGCAGAGTTATGCGTGCCCTACGGCACCCGTGGTATCGGTGCCCGAGAAGTTCGTGGGGCTAGGAGTTATTCCCCAAACTCAGTACTTAAACCCTGAACGGCGAGAGCCCAAGACACCTCAAATAAGCAATAATCTCGTTTGTTTTAAAGTTTGGCTACCGCTGCCACGGTTTATGCTTATCGCGTTTCAAGGCATAGAGCCTTCGCACCCGCAAAAGCGAGTTCGAAGCGGCGCGGTGACGTACCACAAAGAGCAGAGCATGGCAGGATTTAGGAAGTTTTGCAGGATGATCGATTCCCAATGATGGACAACACCCTAAGCCCTAAGCCCTAAACCCTTATCCCTGACCCTAAACCCCAAACCCTAAAGCCTATAACACCTTTTCTTGCCCCTAGCCTATATTGCCAGAAGAGTCCCATGGCTTTCCTGTCTTCGCCCCTCCTGGGCTTCGAGAACAAAGCGAGGTACTGAGAACTTGAGGCTTAGGTTTGAGGAGTTCGCATGCCCAAAACCAAACAAACCGGTAATCGTTCAAAAACTTACACCCAAGTTTATTATGGATTCTACAAGGACGTTTTAACAAACGTCTACAAGGACTTCAATTTTTTGGGTTGAGGGGTTTCAGGGGACTGGATGATCTTACAAGGAATGGGGTTTCTACGTATACCAAGGCCTCCTCAGGAATTGTAGTAGTATGTATCTATGTCGCCTCATATACGGAGGGAGGATCCCGCTGAATCCCCAAGCCCTAACCCAGCTTTGTGCATGGGGGTGTAGGATTTACAGTTGAGGATTTAGGTTTCGAATCTCAGAAACAAGCCACGGATGGCAACCAGACTGGCTCCAGGTTTCTGGTTGACATGGATATCTGGCATTCCTACACATGCGGTTGCTTTTGAGACTGCTTCTTGGTAACAGAACGAGAAAATTTTGAATCTCACACTCGTATGACGAGATACTTCCGATAGTGGAGACTGTGAGCATGCATATGTTGCCAGCATGTACTTCCCTAATATAGGGGCCTAATTGATTACCTATACTATTTCGGGGGTTTCCTTATTTTGA